GACAAATCATCAACTGTGTCGGTTTCAGTCGATCATTTTGTGCTTGATTGGCCAAAGAGATTGGAAATTTCCATTGGGGTTGCTCATGGTCTGTGCTACATGCACCATGATTGCTTTCCACCGATTGTTCATAGAGATGTAAAATCAAGCAACATCCTTTTGGATGCTCAGTTCAATGCAAAAGTAGCTGATTTTGGTCTGGCTAGGATGTTAATGAAGCTAGGGGATCTTGCTACCATGTCTTCAGTGGTTGGCTCATTTGGCTACATGGCTCCAGGTGAATTATCACCTGTTAATCAATTCTTTTCTTACTCCAGATATAATTTTAGAAAAAACTATGTTAACAACTTTTTTATAATTGGTTCGTATATTTGAAACAGATTAATCACACGCTTTCATATAGACTCTTGTAAAAAAATTGTTAAAAAAACATTTTCTTTTTCGTTTGTGTTTCAAATTTTGATATTTTAAAGTCGAATAAATATAGTCTTTTTAATTTAAATATCAGTTTGAAACATCGTTTAAATATGGTCTATCGGTTACATTGTAGAATAAAAAATGATTTTTTTGACATATTTAAATTTTTTACATTCATTTGAAACTATTATTTTCTACTTTTTACTTTTTTTTTTGAAAAAATAAAAAAATTTATACTTTTATGATCATTTTATCTTTTTTGTGTCAAATGAATGTAAAAGTGTGTCATAATAACATTATTGTTGCAGAATATGTTCAAACAAGGCGAGTCAGTGAGAAGATTGATGTGTTCAGCTTTGGGGTTGTACTGCTGGAGCTGACAACAGGTAAAGAAGCTAATTATGGTGATGAACATTCTTCCCTTGCAGAGTGGGCATGGCGTCACATTATCGTGGGAAGCAAAATAGAAGAGCTGCTAGACAATGATTTCATGGATCCAAGTTACACAAATGAAATGTGCAGTGTTTTCAAACTTGGGGTCTTGTGCACTTCCACACTTCCTGCTAATAGGCCTTCCATGAAAGAGGTGCTACACATGTTGGTCACCATAGGAGAAGGGCTTGCTTTTGGAGAGGGGAATGTTAGGCACTTTGATGGTGTTCCTCTTCTTAAGAATTCAAGATGGGAGTGTAGGTTTGATGCTATTGATAATGATAGTGATTAGTGAGTAATTAACAATGTGTTTGTTTAAAGATGGATATGTTAGAGAATGAATATCAGAAAAAAAAAATTAAGTGATTTTAATGTTATAAGAAATATATTTGTTTAACTTAACTTGCCGTTCAAATTCATAAGATGAGAGTTACATTTATTTATATAATAAAAGTATTAATTAATTCGATATCTCCAACATATTAAAAATAATTACAAAATATGTATTAAAAATAATAATCACATTTTAATCCATACAAAATTAAATAACAGAGTATGTTTCGATTAAGGGATTGAAGTTGTTAGCTGCGTCACATTAATTCAGACAGTTTAAATGTTTATCTTTGTTATGATTCCTTTTATAATCTTGTTCGGTCAAACTAATTAAAGGTTATCGTAGAGATATTCTAATGTCAACATTGAAAAAAATTTGACGGTTCTATCAATTAATATATACCAAATATCATCACCTATATTTTTACCTTAAATATGTATTTATAACTTACTTGGTAATAGTCACACTTTTAGTCTATAGGTTTATACATGAGTTATACATAAAACTTTATTAGTAGTATATTTCAGTAAAAACGGAAAATATTTAAATCCTTTCATTAATCTTTTATCTTTAATCAATTAAATCAAAATTACCACGATTTATAATTGATTTATAAACTAAAAATTATTAAATCAAAGTACTATTTATTTGTAAGCATTCTTATTTATGAGGCAAAATGAATCATGACTCTGTTATAAAATGAAATTACTAACAGAAAAGAAAAAATAAAGGAACAAAAGAGAATGGAAACCATTATCTATGTGTATTATTATTGATAGAAAACATTCTCTTTATAAATACAAAATATAACTTAAAAATAATACAAATCAAATAGCTAATACAAATATGTAAACTTCATAAAAAATAATTAATTATATGAATAATTATAACAAATCAATTCATCATATATAATTATAACAAACAAATAAATGAACAATAATTAATTTCATAACAAACTCTTCTTATTTTATACAGTAAATCTTCATGATTATTATCAAACAACATATCTATTATAAATCTTACTATTTTTTTTAGCTTATATGCCTCGGTCCTTTTTGGGCCTGAGGTAGTAGAGGCTTATATGTCTCGGTCCTTCCTACCAACCGATGCAGTATACCCCTTCCACCTCGGGTTTCTGTTAACCGCGTCAGAAATCGTGTCAAAAATCGCTAATTAGGCATCGGTTGCTTTCACAACCGAAGTGGTAGCCCTTTTTGGCACCAGTCTAGTCTGAATCGAGGCCTATAAGGTCTCGTTAATTACGAAACTGCCACCGTGTCTGAATAGATAGCGGTTTGGTGTAAAAAGAGGTTTATTGTGCGAGTTTAAAAGCACATTTTGTACTAGTGTCTGTAAAACTAAATTGTACAAATTCTACTTTATTCGATTCTTTCTTCGAATTTTCCACGGTATATCTCTTTTTAAGTGCTTAATGACTTTATCGAAGCCATTGAAATGACTTAAACATCAACCAAATATAATCTCACCATCCACTTTTAATTGGTTCACATTTACATTTTCCATTTGTCAAACACAGCTCAGTAAAGCACTCTGTGTAAACATAATGATAAAATAAAATGATTTAAAATTTGTAATTATTGCTAAAAGAAAAGCATTAAAATGAAGATAATGGAAGACTTGACCACTAAAGTATTATGAAAGTTTTAATTAACTTTAGTGGTCTTCTTTGAGTCAACCATTTTCCTTTTAGATTCTGTTTGGAAGCACATTGACGAAGAAAGTAGTTTTATTGAGGTAAAAGTGATTATTTATAATGATCTAGTTCAATTCAAAAAATCATGTTTCTTCAATTAAAATTAATTTGAATTTATTCATAATTTTTTAGTTTGCAAATATGTCGGAAAGTTTTATTTTTCTTTTTTTTAATGTGTACCCCCAAACATGGCATATGTTGTTGTGTGGAAAATAATTTTTGTAGTTGTTTTATCTCTCTGTAATCAATTATCCATATTTTTTTAATAATTGTTTGTAGGTTTATTTTGTTATTATTTATTATTATTATTATTATTAATAACGTAATAATGAGTAATTAAAACTCATAATAATAAATAAAATTGTAAAAATAAATAAAATAAGTTTTTTGTTTAAGAAATACTTTGATCATTGGTCCAATAGATTTCAAATTATTGATAAGAATTAAAATACCAAACAAATTAATGGTGTTTTTATTAATTTTCAACACGACAAAGATGAAACAAATGTAAACATATTGATTTATGGTATTAATTTTAAAAAATTAAATACTACACATATTCATATTTAATCAAAATTTTAAGATTAATGTGTATCCAACTTGTTTATTTAATATATATAAAACTGTGAAAATAAATTAATAAAAACTTTGATATTTTTAATGAGAAGATAAGTTGGATGGTTAAATTATATGGTAGACATGCATTCATTATTCAGTGTACTATTTAAAGAAATGGAAGTGAAATTGAAGTCAATTTTTTGGCATTTTCGCTCCTTCCACAGTTCCCTTAGCTAGAAGGCAACGATCATTTTCTGAATGGTGGTGCCAGCATCCAAATTCAGACTTCAATCAACCATTTTCTGATGAACTGTCATTGAAATTTCCTCCTAAATCAAAGGATAAAACTAGAAAACAAAAAGTTTTGTTGGAAAAGAAAAGTATACAAAGACAATGCAATTTCATCCAAGTGTTTGTGGGGATTGAAGTGTGTTGGGAATACTAGAATTTTATTAGATAAAAGAATAACAATAGAATGAAATATTTTTCTATTCCTTTGAGACACAATACAGAATTAAAAAAATCATAAATATATGAATTTTTTTATTTAAAAAAAGAGAGTAAAAATTGAGAAAAAAATAATGTTAAATGAATTAAAAAATTGATGTCTGAAAATATCATTTCTTTATGTAAAAGTAAAAAATAAAAATTTTGAATATAAAAAAGAAGACCCGTAAATTTATTGTTTTAAAATTTTGAATATACAAAGAAAATTTATAAAATTTACTTTTAAAACTAAAATTTTGGATTAAAAATGGTGTGAAATTCACCGGATTTATTAAACATTTAGAATGAAAATGAATTTAAAATAAGAAAAATAATACTTTTTGATATTATATTTTCTTACTTATTTATTTTTTTATTTTTTAAAAATACAAAAACTTATCAATTTATAATCATTTTACCCTTATAATATATATAAAATGAATATCACTTTTCAATTACACTTAAAATAATCCTAATATTTATTTCCACCTTCATAAAGTCTTTGGGACACGAGTGGGAGAAAATTCTAAGTTCACAGTTCTTGTTAGTTTATTTAGTTATATGTTTGACCAGTGATTTTTTTATTTTCTCATCAACCCATTAATTATCCATTATTCTAAATCACTGCATAGAAAATTTGAAATGGGTGGAAAGTCAAACACTTTGGTAATCTACAACGGGTGCTGAATATTATTATTATTATATATCTTTGTAATATGAAAAAAATTAAACTCTTTTTACTTTTAATTTCTAAAATAAATAATAAGACTTTAAAATTAAGTATGAAAATAAACATGCTAGAAAAAAATAAAGCATATCTTTACTTTTGAAAGTCTGACACCTCTCATGAAGTGCAAACCGATTTTAAAATTAAATTATCAAGTCAACGTCAATGATACATGATATAAATAAATATGCAATCAGATATTATCAATATGTTAGAAAAAGAGAATCTTTCACAGAAGAATGCTAGGAGGATAAGTTATGATGCAGAAGCAACAGAGTACAATAATGCAGAATTCTATAATGGAATTTTTATATAATTAATATTATGTGGAAAGTTTATATCTATCCAATTTTTAAATGCTCGTAAACTTAATATTTAGCTTAACTTCTACATAAAAAAATAGACATCATGAGAAAAATTGCAGATGGAAACACCCATTGGCTCGATGGTTACAAGGTGGTTTTCAACTGCTATTGCTGCGTGACTTGACCGAAGTGTTCAAACATTAGATGTTTTTGTTTTGATTTGTCTGAAGTAGTTATACTTTTCGCAGTTCGACTTCTATGTATTTTCATACATTGGCATTGACTTTCTGACCCGCCAACTTTGAATGGTATGAAGGAAACCAACAATTCTCAACTTTTCAGCATGTAAAAACCAAACATCATACCATGAAATCTGTAACAAGTTAGCTTCTTTTCTTTTCAAACTTGAAAAACTGAAGCACCAAGATGGAACTGTTCACCTCATCATCATCATCATCATCATATCTTAAACTGCTGCTTCAGTCTGTTGTGATCTTACTCCTGGTTTTTACGCGTGCAAACTCCGAATCTCAATCTCAGTTGCATGATCAAGAACATGAAATCTTACTGAGGATAAAGCAGTACCTTGAAAACCCTTCATATCTCAGTCACTGGACATCATCAAACATCGCTCACTGCTCTTGGCCAGAGATAACGTGTAGCAACGACGATTCTGTCACTGGATTGACATTGTCCAACAATAGCATCACTCAGACCATACCCTCTTTCATATGTGACCTCAAAAACCTCACACACGTTGATTTCTACAACAATCTGATTCCTGGGGAGTTCCCAACACATCTCCTCAATTGCTCCAAGTTGGAGTACCTAGACCTGTCTATGAACGACTTTGTTGGCAGCATCCCTCGTGACATTGGCAACTTATCTAATCTGCAGTTTCTTAACCTTGGTTACACCAATTTCTCTGGTGACATTCCTTCTAGCATTGGAAGTCTAAAGCAACTCACAAATCTTCAATTTCAGAACTGCCTATTGAATGGAACTATCCCCTCTGAGATTGGCAACTTGTCCAATCTTGAATTCTTGGATTTGTCATCTAACTCCATGTTCCCTCCTTCGAGGTTGCATGATAACTGGATGCGGTTGAGCAAGTTGAAGTTCTTTTTCATGTTTGACTGCAACTTGGTCGGGGAGATCCCTGAAACTATTGGAAACATGGTGGCTTTGGAGAGATTGGATCTATCGCAGAACGATTTAAGTGGTGAAATTCCCGGGGCCTTGTTCATGCTGAAGAATCTGAACATAATGTTTCTATCTAGAAACAAGCTTTCTGGGGAAATACCTGATGTGGTTGAAGCACTGAATTTGACCATCATTGATCTAACGCGAAATTCTCTCTCAGGAAAAATACCAGATGGTTTTGGAAAGCTTCAAAATTTAACTGGTTTGGCTTTGTCTTTAAATAACTTACATGGGGAGATACCACAGAGCATAGGCCTTCTTCCATCTCTGATAGATTTTAAAGTGTTTTCCAACAATTTATCAGGTACTCTTCCTCCTGACTTTGGCCGCCACTCAATGCTTAAAACCTTTTTGATTTCAAATAATAGTTTTAGTGGAAAGCTACCCGAGAACTTGTGCTATAATGGTCACTTGGAAAACTTAACTACCTATGAAAATCATCTTAGTGGGGAGTTGCCACAATCACTTGGTAATTGTAGTAGCCTGACAGATCTGAAAATTTATAGTAACGAGTTTTCTGGTAGCATTCCAAGTGGTCTTTGGACTTTCAATCTGTCAACTTTCATGGTGAGCCATAACAAGTTCACTGGTGAGCTTCCTGAGAGATTGTCCTCAACTATTTCGCGTTTGGAGATAGATTACAATCAGTTTTATGGTAGTATTCCAACTGGGGTGTCTTCATGGACTAATGTGGTTGTGTTTCAAGCCAGTAAGAACAACCTTAATGAGAGTATTCCAAGAGAGTTAACAGCTCTTCCAATGCTAACAACACTATTGCTTGATCAGAACCAGCTCACAGGACCACTTCCGTCTGATATAATATCATGGAAGTCCCTTAGGAATCTAAATTTGCGACAAAACCAACTCTCTGGACATATTCCTGATTCAATTGGTCATTTACCTGATCTCAACCAACTTGATCTGTCAGAAAATCAGTTCTCGGGTCAAATTCCTTCTCTTCCTTCCAGACTCACCAATCTCAATCTTTCCTCCAATTACTTGACAGGGAGGGTTCCAAGTACATTTGAAAATTCTGCTTTTGAAACCAGCTTTTTGAACAATTCTGACCTCTGTTCTGATACTCCAGCACTGAATCTCAGGTCATGTAATCATAGCCCTCAAAGTGAAAGCAATGACTCATCTTGGTCTGTTGCTTTGATCATAAGTCTGGTGGTAGTGGCCTGTTTCCTGGCTTTGTTGGCATCGTTCTTGATAATCAGATTTTACAGAAAAAAAAAGAGTGGATTGGATAGGTCATGGAAGCTCATTTCTTTCCAAAGGCTGAGTTTCACTGAATCAAACATAGTGTCATCACTCACAGAAAATAATATTATTGGCAGTGGTGGCTATGGTGCAGTATACCGCGCTGCAGTTGATGGTTTAGGCTATGTTGCTGTCAAGAAAATTTGGGACAACGAAAAGATAAACAAGAAGCTTGAGAGCTCATTTCACACTGAAGTTAAAATATTGAGCAGCATTCGTCACAAAAACATTGTGAAGTTGATGTGTTGTATCTCTAAAGAGGACTCTATGCTCCTTGTGTATGAGTATGTGGAAAACCACAGCCTTGACAGGTGGTTGCACAGGAAGAATAAGTCATCATCAGCTGTTTCAGGTTCACTCCATCGTGTTGCCCTTGATTGGCCAAAGAGATTGCATATAGCAATTGGAACTGCACAAGGTTTGAGCTACATGCATCATGATTGTTCGCCACCTATTGTTCATCGAGATGTGAAAACAAGCAACATTCTTTTGGATGATCAATTCAATGCAAAAGTTGCTGATTTTGGTTTGGCCAGGATCTTGGTGAAACCAGGGGAACTTGCCACCATGTCAGCTGTGATTGGATCATTTGGCTATATGGCTCCAGGTGAATGAAATGCCAAAATTTAGTTTCCTTCAAAGTAAACATAGCACAATACTTTGATACACTAACATGAGTACTGTTTAGGCCATTCTCTAATCAAAACTGTCAATTTATCAGTAATCATGTTAGAATTTTCATATCAACTAGGAATAAGATGAATTTATCGTATATACATGAATGTAAACCTTATCTTACAAATGATTTTTGCACACTTGAATTGCAGAGTATATCCAAACAACTCGAGTAAGTGAAAAGATTGATGTCTACAGCTTTGGGGTAATCCTATTGGAACTTACAACTGGCAAAGAAGCTAATTATGGTGATGAGCACTCATCTCTTGCAGAGTGGGCGTGGCGGCACCATCAATTAGGAAGCAACATAGAAGAGCTGCTAGACAAAGAAGTCGTGGAATCCAGTTACTCAGGTGAAATGTGTAAGGTTTTCACACTAGGTCTCATGTGCACTGAAACACTTCCTTCTGCTAGACCATCCATGAAAGAGGTTCTACAAGTTTTGCTTTCTTGTGATGAATCATTTTCTAAGGGAGAGAGTAATATTTGCCACTGTGATGATGTTGTTCCCTTTCTTAAAAATTCAAGAAGAGAGCACAAGTTGGATATTGATAATGATAGCTAGCTAGATAGGTGTCATGTTGAAGTTGGAGCTTAGTAGTGTGAGTGTAAATCACCAACTGAACATCCATGAAGATTATTACCAATTCTAGAATTGACTTCAGTGCAACACTGCCACAGGATTGAAGATTTAGAACATCAATACTGCAGAATGCTTGAAAAGTCACAAAATTCAAGTTCTTCGTTTTGGTATGTGAGATAAATCCTCATGGATGGTTACTAGGTACCTGGATTCCAATTGATTCCTGAGATAATCTCTCGTATACTCTATAACTTATGTGGTTGTTAATATTCATTCAGATTAAATATGTTTTTAATCTCTCAATTTTTACACAAAATTAGAATTTATTTTTATTTAAAATTTTGATACATTTTTATTTTTAAACTTTAAAAATAAATGAATATAGTTTTTTTAACGAAAAAAAAATAACATAATTGATTAAAAAAATTATATTTATTCATTATTAAAGTTTAAAAACCAAAATACATTAAATAGATAAAAACAAATTTGATTTCAAATCTAAATTCAGAAATTAAAAGTATATTTCATCTTATTTTGTTGGGATCACAGTTTCTCCGAACGAAAATTTTGTGTTATTTTCCCGAGTTTTTTTTTCTTTCTGGATTTTATGTTAAAAAATACATAATTTAAATGTTAGTACTTGATACTCAAATTATTCTCCCAAACTTCTGTAAAAAGGAACCCTAGTTGCTTGGATTTGGTTTTGCCTACTTGCGTTTCATAGTTACCCATTTTAATTTGATTAAAGCACAAAGTCCTAGGGTTGTGAGCTGATTGATATCACCTAGAATAAAATTTTATGCCCAGTTCAACAATTGAAGATTTTTATGCTCATAACTAATTAACAAGCATTTAATATAGGAAAATGACACTTGAACAACCATTTTTGACAACATTTAGACACGCGCACACGTGTCAAAATCTGAGTGGTCCATTTTCATTTAATTTTTCCAACTGGACCACTCAGATTTTGACACGTGTGCGCGTGTCTAAATGTTGTCAAAAATGGTTGTTCAAGTATCATTTTCCTTTAATATATGATTTTTAGAATAAAATATACAAATTTGTTATATTATATCCCTCAGTACATGATCTGATGTTAGTAATAAAAGTATTGATAGTGACCTTCTAATTATATTCTATTTGGAAACCAAGAAAACTAAAACACTTAATTTATAATATCAAATGTACAGAATTGTGAAAGTAATATGCTAAAGAAAAGAACATCACAGGAATAGTCAATATTAGTATGCTTACTAGAAGGCTTTTGCATACTTCTATGTTCACAAATCTTTTCATTGACTATTCAAAAGTGTAAAGTATTTGTGGTGCTGATGAAAAGGGAAAGAAAGAAAAAAAGAATAGGAAGTTGATGTGATAAGGTTCTAAAATACTTTCATAAATTTCGGCAATGCATCGTGGTTTTGTACATGGATTTTAAAAGTGTGGCTGTCTCTTGGTCTCTGTTCACATTCACACGTGAATCGAGGTCAAAGTTTTGTGGTGATTGACGCAAACTATTCTAAATAATTGAATTAGTTGGCCCTTTGTTATAGCAAAACAGAGGATCAAACCTACTAAAAGCCTTGAAACACGTAGAGTCAGAGTAAAGAAAACATCTCCAGGTTGGAAACCATAACGTGAAGTCTAGAAGATATAATATTGAGAGCATAATACCTACTTTAATATTTTTTCAGTGACCCATGTTTACACACTTTTATATTCATTTTGACATATAATGTAAAAGTAAAATGATAAATTTTTATACTTTTTTAAGAGAGAAAAGAATAAAAAATAAGAAATGATAATGTTAAATAAATGTAAAAAATTTATGTATGTCAAAGTATCATTTTTCTATTATTCTATGGTTGAATCTTAAATATTTATTTATGTTAGGACTTGGATTTTAAATTTAACTCAATACATCCTTTTATATAAAACTAGATATTAGTAAGTGGTCTAATAGTAATTCGATAAGAGGTGACACGATATGTCAACAAATAATAAACTTTTCGAAAAAAATATTTCAATAAGTCTAACAAACAACAAATCTCGTTAAGATAGACTTTAACTTATAATTCTATACCATGTAAGAAATGAATTTTAAGTTTTTGTTCTATAAATAAAAAATCTTCTAATAGAAAATATCACAATAGATATAATAAACAATAAATCTCGTTAGGATAGATTTTAACTTATAACTCATGTAAAAAAGTAAATTTTAAGTTTTGTTTAACTTAAACAAAATCAGGTTATTTTCTGGGTGAATCTTAAATATTTTTGTATACCAACTCTTCTATGTATTGAAGTTCATTAAATGGAGTAATCTCTTTTATACCATATATGTTCTTTTGTTTCACATACATTTTTGATATCGAATATTTGACTGCATATTTAAGAGGAATGTTATTTGTTAAACATGTCAGACTATACTGGTAAAAGAACCCTCATAACTCTGGAAGAATACTAAAAATAAAAGCTACCTTTACTAATTTATTTGACACAAAGTAATGCTATTACTGTAATATCTTAACAAAAGTGTTCAATCCGTGGTCCCTCAGCTGACCCACATAAAATTGGAATTATGCAGAATAGGTAAATTATTGGCATGCCAATTTTGAAAGCAAGCTATGAAGTCAATCACCATTCAACTTGTCAGTCATACTGTGTGTGTGTGTGGTTGTTACCTACAAGAAAAGTAATCGATTCTCATACATTATCTCTTCATTATTGAATGGCGATATCTAGAAACAATTGATACAACAGGATGAAAAAATTCACCTCATCATGTGTCAAAATGCCAATCCTCCCTTTTCTCTCCTTCCTCTTTCTGATCTTTGCAAACTCTCAGTCTCACTCTTTGATGTATGATGAAGAGCATGCAGTCCTATTGAAGATAAAACAATACCTGCAAAATCCACCGTTCCTCAATCACTGGATCCCATCAAACTCCTCACATTGCACTTGGCCGGAGATCACATGCATCAATGGCTCAGTCACTTCACTGACTATGTTCAACACCAACATCACTCAAACACTGCCACATTTCCTATGTGACCTCAAAAACCTCACACATGTAGATTTTCAGTTTAATTTCCTTCCTGGGGAGTTCCCGAAATCTCTCTACAACTGCTCCAAGCTTGAGTACCTTGACCTCTCACAGAACCTCTTTGTTGGTAAGATTCCTGATGACATTGACCACTTGGCTGGCTTGCGTTTTCTTAGCCTTGGTGGCAACAACTTCTCTGGTGATATTCCAGCCAGCATAGGGAGGTTGAAGGAGCTACGAAGCCTTCAACTTTATCAGAGTCTTTTCAATGGTACTTTCCCTGCTGAAATTGGGAATTTGTCCAACCTTGAGTTGTTGTATGTGTTCTCAAACCACATGTTCCCTCCTACAAAGTTTCCATCAAGCTTGACCCAGTTGAATAAATTGAAGATTTTTGATATGCATGAATCCAACTTGGTAGGGGAAATCCCCGAAACCATTGGAAACATGGTGGCATTGGAGGAATTGGATTTGTCAGTAAATGGTTTGAGTGGAGAAATTCCCAAAAGTTTGTTCATGCTGAAAAATCTGAGCAAACTATATATTTACAAGAACAGCCTCTCTGGGGACATACCCGAAGTGGTTGAAGCATTCAACTTGACAGAAATTGATCTTTCATACAATAATCTTAGTGGGAAAATACCAGATGATTTGGGAAAGCTCAGCAAGTTAATATTCTTGTCTTTGTCTACGAACCAATTATCAGGGAAGGTACCAGAAAGCATTGGTAGTCTGCCAGCTCTGACCGATTTTGTTGTTTTTCACAACAATTTATCAGGCACTCTTCCACCAGATTTCGGTCGGATCTCAAAGCTTGAAACTTTTCAGGTTGCATCTAATAGTTTCACAGGAAGTTTGCCAGAGAACTTGTGCTACCATGGAAGGTTAGTTGGTTTAACTGCTTTCGACAATAACCTGAGTGGGGAGTTGCCAGAATCTTTAGGAAGTTGCAGTAGCCTGCAAATTCTGAGGGTTGAAAACAATGAACTTTCTGGCAACATTCCTAGTGGTCTATGGACATCTTTTAACTTATCGACCATTAAGATAAACGAAAACAAGTTCACTGGTCAGCTTCCTGAAAGATTGTCTGAGAATCTCAGAGACATAGGCATAAGTTACAATCAGTTTTCTGGTAGAATTCCACATGGAGTGTCTTCCTGGAAGAATATTGTGGAATTTAATGCCAGTAACAACCTCTTCAATGGTAGTATTCCACCGGAGCTAACATCTCTTCCTGACCTAACAATTCTTCTGCTTGATCATAACCAGTTCACAGGACCACTTCCTTCAGATATAATATCATGGAAGTCCCTGATAAATCTAGATTTGAGCCACAATGAACTCTCTGGAGAAATCCCCCTTGCAATTGCTCAGTTGCCTGCCCTTAATATTTTGGATTTATCAGAGAACAGAATATCTGGCCAAATTCCACATCAACTAGCTCTTATGAGACCCACAAATATCAATCTGTCCTCCAATAGTTTGGTAGGAAGGATTCCAAGTGAACTTGAAAATCTTGTTTATGCTAGGAGCTTTTTGAACAATCCTGGTCTCTGTGCTGACACTCCAGTACTAAACCTTATCTTGTGCAATTCCAGGCCTCAAAGGGCAAGAATTGATAGAAGATATGCATCTCATGTTATAATCATAAGCCTGGTGTTAGCAGCCTCCTTGCTGGCTTTGTTGTCATTATTTTTGATGATCAGAGTTTACAGAAAAAGAAAGCAGGAACTGAAAAGGTCATGGAAGCTTACTTCCTTTCAAAGGCTCAGTTTCACAAAAGGAAATATCGTATCCTCAATGTCAGAACACAATATTATTGGCAGTGGTGGGTATGGTGCAGTGTATCGTGTCGCTGTTGGTGATACAGACTATGTCGCAGTGAAGAAGATACTCAGTAACAGAAAGTTAGAGGAGAAGCTTGTAAGTTCATTTCTTGCAGAAGTTGAGATACTGAGCAATATTCGTCATAACAACATTGTGAAGTTGCTATGCTGCGTCTCCAAAGAGGATTCTCTTCTCCTTGTCTACGAGTATCTTGAAAACCATAGCCTTGATAGATGGCTGCACAACAAAAGTAAGCAGACAGCTTCAGGTTCAGTCCTTGACTGGCCAAAGAGATTACATATAGCCATTGGAGCTGCTCAAGGTTTGTGCTATATGCATCATGACTGCTTACCACCTGTTGTTCATCGTGATGTGAAAACAAGTAACATCCTGCTGGATTCTAAATTCAATGCCAAAGTTGCTGATTTTGGTCTAGCCATGATGTTGATTAAGCCAGAAGAACTTGCAACCATGTCAGCTGTGGCTGGTACATTTGGCTATATTGCTCCAGGTAAAAACAAGTTACAAATGTATCATTGCTCCTAGTGTAAATCTAAACTCCACCTTACATAAAAATGACAAGGTTAAACATCATACAAGAAGAAAGATCCATAAATCCATTGTTTTGAATCATGTATTGCTGTTGCTTCAGTTAAATTCTCTTTCTAATTTTTCTGTCATAAGCCTAGTCTAAATTTTTGTTCATGCATGAATTGCAGAATATGCTCAAACAACAAGGGTCAATGAGAAGATAGATGTCTACAGCTTTGGAGTAGTCCTATTGGAACTGACAACAGGAAAAGAAGCTAATCATGGAGATGAGTACTCATCTCTGGCAGAATGGGCGTGGCGCCACATTCAGATAGGAGCAGATGTAGAAGATATTTTGGACAAAGAAATTAAGGAAGCTTGTTACATGGATGAAATCTGCAACATCTTCAAACTTGGGGTGATGTGCACTGCAACACTTCCAGCTAGTAGACCTTCCATGAAGGAAGTCCTGAAAATTTTGCTCTCCTGCAGCAGTCCACTCAGCATTGGAGACAAGAATGTTGGCTTCTATGATTCTGCTCCACTTCTTAAGAATTCAAAATGGGAAAATAATATGGAATATTATACCGATGATGATTGAATGTTGATGAAGCTAGGTGGTTTGCATCCTTGTTCAAGAATCTTCTTATCTGTCTGATAAACTTTAACCAAATGGCTAGTTTTGAAGTCCGAAAATAAGACAATGGAAGTAGTAGATAGAGTAAAGTAATTAGATAGAGTAGAACATATATAGGTTCAGATTCAGCTCAGGTCATGGATTACTGTAATTGAAGTACTTTTCTAAGATCTTCATTTTCCATTTTCTGAAGAAAAATATCCGCAAGGTTTTCTTCATACTGTCACAAAATCAATATTCTATTTGGAATAATAATCTCAGTTTTATATTGAATAGAAATAACAAAATTAAATATTGTATAAGAAAGAAACTCAGGTTTTGAATTATAAGTATTTTCTGTAATAGTTTTGAATATTTTTTCCAAAAATTAGTAGTTGCCTGGTCAATCAGAGAAATACAAATGTTAAAACAAATATCTATTCTTTTTGTGCAAAACATTTAAAGATTATGGGTTATACAACACGAATCTAAAGTTGTTTTTTGTGATGGGGTGTATTTAATTAGAATATAAAATATAAATCTTATTTTAAAAGTTAGGCTTGTGAGATTAAGTTAAATATAAACTCTTCAACTAACATGATATTAGATAATTTAGATAAATAAATTTATTAGTGAATTTATGGCTTAGATTAAGTGAAAATGAAAAAAAGAGAGTAATGTATAAGAAACAAGACTTTTTCAAAATATATTATTTTAAAGCTTTTATCTAAATTTACTCAAATTTCATTAGTATTTGAATTCTTCTTAAAAGATATATCATAGATTTATCTAAAGTTTTTGAATTCCAAAAATGAGAAGGTGTAGGCAGAAATCGATGGGTGCAGGAAGCAATTGTCAGTAAGAACTGGTAGACTGAAACAAGCCCAAATAAAGATTGAATTAGAAGGCCCAATTTTTAGACTTGCTCCCTACTCCTTCTCTCTCTTTCTTTCTGTCTCAACTTTGAGACCTGTTTCTCATTCTCCCTCCCTCGTGTTTGTTTACCTTACACAAAATTTCCACTGTTTTCTTGCTCATTTCCCTTCCTTTCTCTTTTCTCTATCTTGAGCCTAGTCTCCGCCACGCCACCGTCTCCGTCGCGAAGAAGACGTAGCGTTGCCGCCTTGATCAACGAAGCCCTCCCGTCCTATTGTCGCGTACAGGTTTATAGATTTTAATTTTTTGATCGTTACTTTGACATTTATTCCTTTCTTTGCTATTCACAGTGACACTTATTGTTTTATCTTTTCTACGAGGGATGGTATGAAAATCCACTATTCAACTGTTTTTAATTTTCAATTTTCAACTATGAGTCAATAAAATGATTGATTTGCTTTGTGATTGCAAATTGCCAGTGAGGTTGTTAGTGCAGATTCTCGCGCGGTTTGTCATGGGGGATAGTCAATATTCGTTTTCACTCACCACATTTAGGTATGTCGATTGTTGATGACTTCTAATTTAAATTATTTTTTGTTTATAAAGAGAATTTTATGATGCGTGTTTCTAATGATTCTGTGGTGTTGTGGAACAGCCCTTCTGGAAAACTTGTTCAGATTGAGCATGCTTTGACGGCTGTTGGGTCTGGGCAAACGTCTTTGGGAATTAAAGGTGATTTGTTATCTCTGCCTCTGGACTGGATCTGTTTATGGCCCTCGCTTTAGCATTTCCATTTGAAATTGATTATTTTTTGTAGCAGCTTATAGTTGTGTATAAGGTCTTTGACATATGGGGGAATCTAAGTTCAGTTCTGTGAGAACACTGCTCTCTGAGATGTCTAATTTTTTGGGCTGAGTAGGCTTTAGAGGAACCTAGAGTTAGATATTTATTTTTTTTATTTCCTTTAATTTGGAGTAAACTTATTTTACATTTTGCGAGTCCATTTTGGTTGCTAAAATCTATGTCTGCTGTTGTTTGTGCTATTTACTCTCGTGTTCCGTGGGTTCTTCTGTTGTCTTGTAGAGGGCTTGGATCCTGTAATATAAGTGGTATATTTTGCTAGGTGTAAATGGGAATCTGATATTTGATTCTTGCAGCTGCAAATGGAGTTGTCATCGCTACCGAGAAGAAATTGCCATCTATTTTGGTTGATGAAGCATCAGTGAGTTTATTTCCATTACTGGATCCTTTTTTTTTCATTATTCATGGAATTTTTTTATAAAATTATCCTAAGCAAATATTCAACGATTTAAAATCCTTCTGGTTGTCTCTGTTGTGTGTTTTACACATGGGTTTAACACCTTCAGTGATTCCTATCCAAATATAAGCTACATTGCTTGATTGTTCACCCTTGAAAAAATAAATTGAAGATCAACACCGTTTTGTCCCATTAACTCAAATACTGACGCCCTCCACTCCCACACGCACACATCTCTAATACTCGTTTGTGCTCTCTGTTTGCAATATTTCTTTCATATATATGGTGACTAATAATATGCTTTTACTGGATATTGAACTTAGTACATTTCAATAATCACATGACTGCTTCCTGCAGAGAAATTTAGTGTGTTTGGTTTGCAGTTGCTAACCTGCAACCCTCTGTTCAACAGAAAAGAGATGAATTGTTGCTTCCTCTTTTTATGCTTTGGGTGTGTTAACACACCCATATTCTCTTAACAGTGTCAGTTCCTTTTCCCCTCAGTACTCTAAGTATAATATATAGCACGGTTTTGTTTTACTTTTCTTTGAAAAATATTTGCTAAGTGGAATGGTTTTCTTGCTATATCATAGTTAAGGACGTTTCAAAGTCTGGCTAGTGATAAATGAATCTGTTATGTAGTTTTTACATGCAATGTGTCAATATAAATTAAAAAAAGTGAAGTTACTTAATTCATGATGTATTATGTGTATTTACACTCTGTTTTACTTAATTGCAGGTCCAGAAAATTCAGTTATTAACACCAAATATTGGTGTCGTATATAGGTTTGCTTCTTTGGACATATTTAAGTTTGAAGTTAATCATGTTTTGTAACATCAATAATTTATCGTATGTTAATGGTGGTTACATGTTTAAATATACTAAAAATATGATAAAAAGAGCTTAATAGACACTAAAAGGTACAAGAAAAGGCTATATCTTAGGTAATTAATGCTAATAAGTAAACATCTCATTTGTACAACATATAGCAGTTTTCCAATACAACTACCTATATTTAATACCTATTCTAACAAACATAATCATGTAACACATTAGCTTTGAATGTGTTGTTAAACATGAGGTGCTACANAATATCATAGTTAAGGACGTTTCAAAGTCTGGCTAGTGATAAATGAATCTGTTATGTAGTTTTTACATGCAATGTGTCAATATAAATTAAAAAAAGTGAAGTTACTTAATTCATGATGTATTATGTGTATTTACACTCTGTTTTACTTAATTGCAGGTCCAGAAAATTCAGTTATTAACACCAAATATTGGTGTCGTATATAGGTTTGCTTCTTTGGACATATTTAAGTTTGAAGTTAATCATGTTTTGTAACATCAATAATTTATCGTATGTTAATGGTGGTTACATGTTTAAATATACTAAAAATATGATAAAAAGAGCTTAATAGACACTAAAAGGTACAAGAAAAGGCTATATCTTAGGTAATTAATGCTAATAAGTAAACATCTCATTTGTACAACATATAGCAGTTTTCCAATACAACTACCTATATTTAATACCTATTCTAACAAACATAATCATGTAACACATTAGCTTTGAATGTGTTGTTAAACATGAGGTGCTACTTAATTTACCTACACATAACGTGGAAGGCAATAGGAACATGACATAACTATTTTGGTGAAATGTCTTTCTTAAGTATGTATGAAGTAGAAATTGAAAAGGCACATTTAAGCTGATTAAGGAATTACTAGATGCATAATCAAGAAATTTTTTTGATGGTAAGCAATTAACTATTACTTGTAATACTGATTTAAACAGTCTGAAGTATACGTGAAGCATAGTTCATGCAGCAAATTGTTAATCCACATTGTTTTATATGTAAATAAATTATGGTGAACTAGGTTTTCAATAGATTTTCTAATTAAAAGAATTTTACTGGGTTCAATCTGCAAGACTTTTGACTATTAACCTTCTTTTTTTCAGGGAGGATTTGAGTTGTTTGTTGAATGTTGACTTTTTAAATATATCTGGGGACATTTCAAATATAGAAAACATAAAAATTGACTTTCTGTGCACTTTTTGCATCTTCTATAAGAGAATACTGTTGAAATAATTAATTTTATGATGATTAATTTGTGTTTGAAATTTCATAAGCAGGCTTATCGTACCTTTTTCCATTTCTGTTAAGCTTTAGTAAATGGAAATGATTATTTGATTTTTATTACAAATATTTTATTTACTTGACCTAAATTGGGTTTTTGTTCAGTGGCATGGGTCCCGATTTCCGAGTTTTGGTTCGAAAAAGCAGGAAACAGGCTGAGCAGTATCATCGATTATATAAAGTATGGTCTACAAAATTCAATTCCAACACATTTTTCTTAGTTTCAAGTTCTTGTTCTGCATATAGTTATATGATCTTGATGAATATTATATATATGCTCTTCTGTCTCTTTCTGTTTGCTTTTGGTATTCTATGCTGGATCATCTGTGAATTGTGCGCTATATTTGGCATTTGATAATATATCAAAATTTGCAGGAGCCAATTCCTGTGACTCAACTTGTCAGGGAAGTTGCTGCGGTAATGCAGGAGTTTACCCAGTCTGGGTAATTATTTCCTTGTAAACTGTACTCTTACCACTGAAATTTACCTTGTCAACTCAGTATATAAGTTTATTTTATGCATATACATAAATCATTTACAATTTGATATCTTAAATATGAGTGATTTCTAGCTCTGATCTTTTGTTTTTTCTTCCTTCACCCCTTGGCAGCATTTCTTAGCTATGGATTCTCTCATTAACTTTAAGACAAGTATTTTTTCAGTAAACTCAAATTTTCAGAATTCTCAATTCCAGTGCTGTGGGGCATTAACTGTTGTAATTAAATGTGGAACTCATTAGCTTCTGGAAGCCAGGAGCATAAGTATAAATTATAAGTCTTTGGAAATATGAAGCTTGGAATAAGTCCAAGTGTAAATGCCTAAAACAGCTTTATCTTTACTAAAACAACCAGCATGGGATCAATATTTACAGAGCTTTTGTTTTTGTTTTCCTCTGGAGGCATATGTTATATAAATTGGTAACATTGTGATTCTTATAGGAATTTCATGTAAAAGTTAGGCATATTGTTG